ACAATACAAAATAATAAATGATAAGCTCCGAGACATGGCTGAGATATCACCGATCGGTTTCATCGAGTGGTAATCAGTGGAAATAACCGATGTCTTCCTCGAGACTCTTATTGTCCTCAAAGTTGGCGAAACTTACTTCGCCGGTGAACGCCCTGTGGGTGCGGATGTGCACGTATTTGCCATCACTCACGCGCACCTATTAGTGATCAATCAATTAGTCACAATGGGATCAGTTGTCTGAAGCGCTGGCATTACTTTAATGAAGTAATTGATACCATTCACCACTTGGGTCTTGAAGACAATTGGCGTGAATTCGCTGAATGTCTGACCATTTTTGTCCTCAACGTCTTTGCGGATCTGTTTAAGAGACATACGTGTCATGAATACCAGATAATACACGCGCGAGAAAGCAATTGGCGATTGAGATGATAATCAATGATATTTCTTGTGGTGACAAACCTTATGGCAGATGTCGTGGACGGTATCGTCCGGCTGTTTCGTCTCTCCAATACCTCCCACTTTAGCCATCGTTTTGTGAATCAAATGTGTTTTATATCTGAAGACAACAAAAATGTGTTAAAAATTATGCGATCATTCACTGAATGCATGGATTTCTGCGCTAAATGGCAGACAATAGTCTAGACTTTACTTTAATCGCGATTTTCATGTACTTTGCAAACGTCAGTAATATTACAAAAAACAGTGTTTTAATTGAGATAACAATTAGTTATATATAGAGATAGTGAGGGAATGGGAGGAATGGGATATCATGAGCACACATGCCGTACCTGCACAGCCGAGATATAAACGGTTTAATGAGTTTTCAACTTGTTTAACTCAAAATATATGCTTGGTAATACAAATCGACATAATATTTACTGTATGGTGTTTACGCAAAATGACATTTAATTTATTTGCTTACATGTTAGTTTAACAATCTATGTATGCATATAAAGGGCACAAATTATAGGCAATTGCATTGCTAGCAATTTATGTGGCATATTTGTGCGATTTTATGGACCCTTTTATAGCTAGGATTGCATACATTTGAGTAATAATAACAGTCTATACGAGATTTAAAGGGATTTCATTATTATGTTTGGGTTTGTGTTTATGTATTTGTGAATGATTTAGACTTTTTAAACACTTGATTATCATTGTAGTGGGAGTTCATTGATAACTATTAATACATTTTTGAAGCAGATTTGTTGAATAATAGCCACTATTCATAGTAAAAATGCTTAATTACATGGCATTGACTGTATAGTAAATATGTGACGAAACCATACGTGTATTTACAACTACCGGTGACTTCATTTAAAATTATAGTTTTAGTTGCATATAATAGCTATTTTTGAATACAATCGACTGATTGTCTAAAAAAGTTTTGTTATTTAACTCATTTGTTTTGTATAATACAATTGTGTGACAATTTTTGATTAGCATATAAATTGAGCCGTAAATGTAGTTTTCGTATGAAGTGTATATACAATAGGATGTTATGATAAGGAATATTCTGTTAGTTTAAGTGTTGCCTATCGCTAGAGATAATGAATTTTCTCTCTCGGCTTAATTGAAGGGCATTTGTGATGAGAGTTTGAAAATTATTTTATTTTTATGTAATAAAATATTATGAAATACATTATCTCCATTCAATGTAAAGTGACACTTGTTTTGAAATTCATGGTATCTCTGCATTTAGTAATATAATATAATCATATATTGTTTTTAATGATTACTTTGGTATTATAATTAGCCATTAGTTTGCATAATGAGCATAATTTAGTGGATTATTCCTTATAAGCCTATATCGCAAATGTTATTCAGTATAAGTTAGGAATTAGTGTTTTACATAAACTAATGTGAATGCTATATTTCTAGCAATTAATCAAATAAAGTAGACTTATATGGCATACAATGATTTCAGTTGTGTATTGAAATGTTTATTCAGACGTCTGTCAATGTCCTCATAAGTGTCACTCATTTCTTTAGATATTTGTCTTATCTATGGGTAAATCGATTTCATCGTCAGTGTTAGTCATGTACTGTAGTATTAGTCACTCAAAAATGTGATGTACTTTTGCGAGTTAAATGTGGTGTCAAAACAATTAAGTGTTTGAAAGTTATTTTTATTGATTCAATTGCACACTTCCGGTCGTATTCCGTGAGTCTATTTCATTATCAACCGATAATTACATGTCATTCGAGACTAAACTACCGGCGCTTGAAAAATGCCGTTTCGCCACAATTGTTTAATAAATTTTTTTATCGCACACATTATGTCAAACATTTTATGTTTGTATTTTAAAATTGAATAATATAGCAAAATATTTTACACTAAAAATTTATTGTGTATAGACTTTGAACTCTATTTTTATGTGTTTTTCTGACATTTCCGATGAATTCATTGATTTTCTCTCAAATAAAATATTTATTTAGTTTTTTCGCAAATAAATTATTTTTTATATCTATATTTCGATGATTAATAGCATGTCTTCTGGATGTTTGTCGCGATTAACGCCTATTAAAGAGTTCTTTCGGTCAAAGTTTATCAAAGTTTCCGATCAATGGGTGACTAATCAATTGACGGCAAACAGTGGTATCAGTAATGAGAGCGTATATCAGCAGTGGTTAGCCTCCGATCTCAAAGCCATTAGTCCAGTGAATGTATTGCCCAATGACTGCAATCAGATAAAAGTGGATCAAATCAGCCAAAAACCAAACAAGAGTACACTTAACGGCAAATTTGCGGTTCAAGTAATCGATCACTACTTCCTATGAATTAAAACTATTATTTCCAAACAATTGGTTTGCATTTCAGATCAACTCAATCGAGGATATAAGTCGTCCAAAAGTGTTGTCAGAAGCGGATGCTGTGGACGAAGAGGTGGTCAGCTCTGGTGATGAGGAGACAGACAATGGAAACACAAAACTGTTTAAACGAACCAAAGCTAAGCCTAAGAAAGAGGTGACCAAAAGGGGTCCCCGAATGCTGGCCCTAGTAGTGAGCGATGGTATCACTGAATGCAAAGCCATTGAATACAACCCCATTGAGTGCCTGTCCCCGAGTACACCCATTGGCACAAAACTACTGCTTTCCGGTCCCATCGATATCTATGCGGCCGTTATGTTATTAAATGCGAGACACGTAACCGTTTTGGGCGGAAGTATACCGTTGGAAAGCACTGGTAGTCAGCACTCGCTATTCGCTATTCGCTCATCGGACTAGAAATTAGACATTGATCTCACTATTTGTTTATTTGTGTACAAAAATAAAATTTCTCACTCATTATAATCTAATCTTGAAGTGAAATTAATATGAATTTTATGAATCGAAATGTTTGTTTGAATCGACGTTTGACTGATTAGTCGTTTCAGTTATTTATTGCTTCGGAATAAAAAAGAAAATAAAAGTTATTTTTAAAGTTATTTTTATCCGTAAAAACAATTTAACTTTTGATGTATTGCAAGGAAAATGTGATTTTTGTTTTGATTTTCTTTTCGAAAATGATTTTGAATTTTATTTAATCATTAAGTCATTGATTTGTTCACTGAATGAATGAATCGCTTAATTAAAAAAACCTAATTATATGAAAATCATGTGTTTTTTATGAGTAATGATAACCTCTTTTCCTCTACTCTATTATAACATGAAAACCCGATACGAATTGTTTGAATTCCTCCGCATATTATGTATTCCACTCAATGGTAGTTAAAATTCACATAAAAATAAAAAAAACTTCATAATGTTTTAATGATTAGATTTCAAACTCCAAGGATATTGTATTGCAATCAAAGAGTTGGTTTTGACAAAAGTATTTTCGCTTAAACACTGAACACGATATTTAATTCGCGTATTGAATGTGTGTTTGGCAGACAAAAAACATCCTCTCACTTTCAGTGTGTTATTTGTTTTAATTGTGTAATTATATTACAAAATAATAAAATCTCATATATGATACAATTGAACAAAATACAGTATCATAAACAATAAAAAAAGTTTAGCATAACACAGAAAATTAATTTCCACACAAAACTATAGTAACTCAGAGACTGAATGTCATAATAGGGTCGACTCCAGCGACTAATAGCCTCTCGTATCGCGAAAACTATATGAGAAAACACAGGTATGTCCCCTACCTGTCCATTACTTTCGCAGCACAAAGAGTATACAGAAAAAGTTTTTCCTACGAAACTGCAGCAAAGTTTTGTGTCATTAAAAAAACTTTTAGCCCAAGAAAAAAGTCTTTTACGTATTTTATGCCACGAAATGGAGGCATCGGTATGCAAGCGGTGGTGTGGTGTTTGGCAATCAGTATAATGTGTTGTGTGTTGAATGCAATGGGAATGGCATGGGAGATGTAGGGGAGAGCGAGAGAGACTATGGGAGAGGGAGAGAGGACGGGCAGGTTTTCTGTGTGGCTGTGTGTGTGTTGTGTGTGTTTTGTGCACTTGTAGTGCAGAGATGGCATTGAGTGTAGTGTGCGAGTGGTGTATAGCGCATAGTGTTGAGCGCCATTGCCAACCATTACGATCACAACCACTATATAACAAGTGTATGAATATTATAGACATTATATGAACACAACTTTTTTCTGTACGAACTATTCACTCGCAAAACACTGCTTTCCTGTGGACAATGTGTTTGCACCTCAACGGTGGCCACTATTTGGTGGCCTAATCATCGGTGGTTAAGGTGTGTCATCAGCAGTGTGTCTGTGTGTGTGTCAGTGCGACCGGTGGTGACGCCTGTCTGTCCCCCCGAGACTACCTGTCCATTGGATTTTGACGCAAAACTTATCGTCAACTCTCGACTCCACGCAAAAAGTTTAGGCGTTTTGTGTCAATACATAAGCCGTTCATTATGTGTTGTAGTGATTAGTGTGTGTATTATGTGGTGATTATTGTGAAGCCAAGTGCACCACAAACACCAAGCCATGGATAAGCAACTGGTGGGGGAACGGGAGACCCTGAGCAATATCATCGCCCAGTGGAATGCCAACCGATTGGATCTGTTTGAGATCAGCCAACCAAATGAGGTAATTGTGCGGCCGATGGACGTTGACATCCATATCCCTCTTACCCGATGTCTACCACGAGTGCTGTGTTTGCACTCCAGGCCTGCAATCATTGCAATATATACTCCAATTCCTATGCATTCTCTGTGCTCTCTCTCAGTCTCTCTCTCATGACTCTCTGGTCTCTCCCAGTGCTGAGTCAATGGCTCTCGAGTCCCCTCCCGGAGCTGTTGAGCCTCTCTCTCTCTCTCTCTCGCCTCGATGTGACGGCACACTCGCCAGATCTGGTTTCCCCAGCCCTGCCGTTCCCCTCATCCCCTATCGATAGTCAATAGAGAGTGTATTAACTGCGAGCACAGGTAGGTATTGAGGACCTGTGTGCTCGAGAGTGCCCTACGGGTGCTCTGCTTATGATGTGTACAAACGTCTTGTATAATGAAAAACACAGCGAATATAATAAGTATGATATGAATGCCATGAATGCGAGTCCAGTCTCTCTCTCTCTCTCTCTTTCTCTCTCTCTCTCTCTCTCTCCACCACATCTCCTCTCACAATCGCTGTGTTTATGACAAATCAGTTGTGTTTTGATGATTGCATTGACGACTAATTTGTTGTGAAAGCAAACCATTACAGCGAGAGATGTATTGTAGACCGCAATGTATGGCCTAATAATAGCTAATTTATTCGCATTTAATTAGTTTTAATGCCATAAAGTGGGTTGAGTTGCTATATTTATTTTAATAGACTAATTTAAACTAATTTTCAAACTTAATTTTTGCGATACTATTGTGTAGTTTGTACTGAAATTCAGTGAAAAGCTTGTGTTGAGGACTAAACCACTGTTAGAGAGATTTTAGTAATTATTTTTTGTATTTGTGTTTTAAGATTGGGATTAATATTCATATAATTTTTGTTGTTAGTTTTATTGTTAGTACGAAATGAGCTGTAAATTTAGAAAAACTTTAAAATTATAATGGATTATAGTCTTAAATATAGAAAGAAAATGATTAACAAAAACATGTGATAACTCTTTAGTCGTTTGAGAGATAACATGAGTTTTGTTTGATTGAGATTTTAATCGTTAATTGAATTTGAAGTGCATTTTTCTCGGGACCCAATCCATGAGTCCTTAATCACGAGTTGAGTTATAAATTGATTTTTAAATACAAAAATATTTGAATAATTTTCAAATTAGTTAACAATTATGGTTTTTGGGGAGCGATAGAGATGTTTATCAATGGATAAGACTTTTTTCACTCGTATTTCATTCAATTGAGTGGTTTTTGTCTGAAGTAATAATTAGTGGATTTCGTCATATCCTCTAATTATAAGCGAATCCACGACTTCTTTCGGTCTCTCTCTCTCTCTCTCTCTCCAACCAATTGTCACAGTATTTGAATAATGCATTGAATGCTATGTTATGTGAGAGACACCCGATTCTTATGTTAATGTACTCTCTATTGATAGTGAGATTCATACTTATGATAACTACCGGCCCTATGATACTATAGTTTCATTTTTAGACTAAATTTAGTCAATTTAAAGCGAAATTATGATGTATATTTAGTGGAAATTGTTTTATTATGTTGTAAATTGTTAGCTAAAATAAAAGTTATAAATGGATTAAAATTTATGTCAGAAATGTTTGAAATATTTGAGTCACTATTTGATATACAATTAGATTATCGCCACAATCAGAGCTAAAACTATAATAACTTATGAATATATTTATGTAATGTTATTACTGTATATGTATTTTAGTTTTCATTTGTTTTGTTTAGAAATCTTTTGCAAACATTAGATAAGGTTTGTGTATATAATACATAATATTGTAGGCAAACAGTGATTTGATTTACATTTTAATGAATTTTTATTTTAATTTTTGAAAAATAAATAAATTAAATAATTTTTAGCTTTATAATAAAAGGCAATTGAATGCACTGTTAGCTTAAGAGTACAGTAATTGAATGGAGACCTCAACTCAAAAAGGATTTTATGCTAAATTTGTGTATAAGTGGTTGTGTTTGTTGAAGACATTGGCTTCACGACCGATCCACACCATCGTATCAAATGTCTGCCCATTTAGCATAATATAGACTTTGCACTCAATTCGCATTCAAAATGCTTTACATTTAGATTACCATCTCATGTCATTCATACCACAACTCCCCCGCCATCCCTACGTCCCCCTCTTTCTCTCACTCATAGTGTTTGCTCTTTTCATCAGATGCTGTAATATTGCACCCCCGGGGGCATTATACCCGGGTATTTATTATACATTCCACGTCATATGAGCTAGCTTTAAGGGGTGGGGGTTCATTTACATGGACATTCTGTCCAAGGGCTTAAGTATTTGTCATTTATTGCATGGCTTACTGTATGTTTAGATTAGGCAAACCCTACTCTCTTGAGTCTCTCTCTCTCTCTCTCTCTCTCCAAATATATTCACGAAACTAATAATAAATGTTTGTGTGATATATAGTCACTGGAATTTCATGGGGTGATGAGGTTCTACTTCCAAGACGCCGGTGCAAAGGTGGCCACCAAATGCATACGCGTGGCGTCGACGGCCACCACTCAAGACGTGATCAATATATTGATCGAGAAATTCCGTCCCGACATCCGTATGCTATCAGTGCCTGAATACGCCTTATACGAGATCCACGAAAACGGTGGTATGTATTGATGGCGCAAATATTGTCTCATAAATCATCTCATTTCTCATAATTTCTTACGTATTGATTGATTTGAGCAGAAGAGCGAAAGCTATCGGAAGAAGAGATGCCACTATTGGTTCAACTCAATTGGCATAGGGATGACCGCGAGGGTCGGTTCCTCTTAAGGAGGATGAATGAGAAGACATATGTAAGTCACACCACAAGCCTTAACAGTCTTAACACATTTGAAAGCACTTGAAATACAAACTCCAAGTCTCTCTCTCTCCCCTCTGAGTCATTCATTTACTTTCTGCATCTCTCGCACGTTTGCATCCCTTTCCCCTCGCATTCTCTAAACACAATATTTTATGCCAACTCTTAACGAACTTTGATCTCAAACTTGTGCCCAAATTTTGGCGCTTTTTGCGCTGTTTTGACGACTCCTTTATCCAAACACTTGTCTATAAATATAACTTTGAATTCATAATTAAAACTGAATTTTATGTTTCTGTTTATTTGTCTTTCTCTCTGTTTCTCGTTCTCGTATTTTACACACAAAACCTCTTTGTGTGCGAGACTTCTGTGTAGAGACGTCTTGACTAATGTTTCTATTGATTAATTGATTTTTACGTTGTGTTTGACGATTAATTGTCGGTTCAGTTACCGGGCTTCGAGTCGACGACCGACGAGAATAAGTTTAAGCGAAAACTGTCGAAACGCGAGAAAAAAGAGCAGAAGAAGCGCGAAAAGCAGCTAAAACTGAAGGCATCCGAAGGCAAAGGCGATGCGAAGGACTCGTTAGCCGAGAAGCTGTACACAGAGTTACCCGAAACGAGTTTCACGCGCAGTATATCCAATCCCGAGGCCGTTATGCGACGGCGCCGGCAGCAGAAGTTGGAGAAGAAGTTACAGCAATTCAGTCAAGAAGGAGGTGTCGAAGCGGGTCAGTAGTTGTTGTTTGTCTCTCTCTTTCGCATGTCGTTGCGGTCACTCTCACTGTACTACTGGCTCTCTAGTAAACCAGTTGTGTTTGACAGCTCCAGTAGTTTAAAAAATCTTGTGGTTTATATTTTTAAAATTTTACCAGAATATCTGGAAATTCATTGATTGTGTGATTTATGCATTGAGTCAATTGTTGTGTATATTATATTTGTTTAGTACAATACTAAACTTGAAAGTAATAAATTACGGTATAACCTTTTATCTCTTACTATAGTAGTATTTTGTAGTAGTAATAATGGTACAATACACTAATTTATTGTACACTACAGTTAACCCAATTGTTTGACATAAGTTTAATGTTTTATACTAATTGTTACCACTTTTCTAATGAATCACACAATCGATGAATTCGTAATCAAATGACAGATAGTTTGGGAGAATTGAACATTAAATGAGAGCCTTATGTGCGAAAGTTATGCTCAAATAGTTTGCTTACAATCTGTGTGTTTAGGCGGAACTCTGCGAATATTTGGTGAATCCATTAACCAAGACGTGCCATACAAGACAATACTACTGTCAGATCGCGACACCGCCGCCCACGCCGTCAAAGAGATACTCGAGAAGTACGGCAAAGACAAAGAGGATCCGGTGGTCTACTGTCTCGTGCAGCTAATAGTGCCCGTCGCTAACGGTGACATCAACTCTATCAGTGATTTACACAATTCGGCCGGAATTCGAGAGTATATATTAGACGACGACGACTGTCCCCTCGCCATAGAGAAGGCGCACAATAAGTCCAGAGGTGTCCTGACTTTTCATATAAGGCGCCGCCCCTCTGACTACCAGCCCCGCAAAAAGAAGAAGAAACCCAAACAAATCAAAGGGGAAATGGATGCCGGGTATACCAAATACGACGAGGCGCTGGAACGGNAGAAGGCGCACAATAAGTCCAGAGGTGTCCTGACTTTTCATATAAGGCGCCGCCCCTCTGACTACCAGCCCCGCAAAAAGAAGAAGAAACCCAAACAAATCAAAGGGGAAATGGATGCCGGGTATACTAAATACGACGAGGCGCTGGAACGGCTGCCATACCTGAGCGAAACGAATCCCGACGGCAGCGAAATTACGAGAGGAATGCCTAAAAAGCATTACCTGTACGTGAATATGACGGAAGTGGGTAGCGAGAGATCCGGCGCTACGAATCATAGCCAATCCCTGCAGCTGTACGGCCCCAACGTCCAGGCGCGCCATTGTGTGATCGCACACACCGAGGGTATCGTTACGGTTACCCCCAGTAGTCGAGACGCCGAGACTTACGTGAATGGGGTTCGCATTTACGAGACGACTATCTTAAGGCACGGTATGCTCGTGAGGTTCGGCAAAATACATACGTTTAAGTTCATTGACCCGCTGGACGACCAGTGCCGGCAACTGTCGCCTACATCCCTGACCAGGGGTTCAGTGCACGGAAGCCTTAGGAAGATGGCCGACGATATACGGTTAGCACCGCCTCAGTCGAGGGGTAGTTACGAGACTACTTTCGATGCTGACGGCAATGTGGAGACCACTTCCATGACCTCCAGAGATGAGAGACTGTCGAAGAAGTCGGACGAGACTAATGGCTCGAATCCGAGACAAATGTCAGGGAATGGACCGTTAATTAGAGATAATAATCAGCAACACATTCATAGCAATAACGGTATGAATGCTATGCGAAAGGGCTCGGATCCCATTCTTCCGGCTATACTGGAGCTGTGGGAGGAACGGGAGGACGCATTCCTAAATCAAATTATCAATCTTATCGATCCAAACGCTACACAATTCAAACTGGCCGTCACTTATACAAGTGAGTCACTTATGCAATATTATGCAAACAATTTTATGCAAATTAATAACCGTTTTGTGTTTATTTAATACATTTTAACTCAATTAGTGTTTTGTTTGACTAATCGTTTTGTTTGTCTTATCAATTAAATATCCGCAGTCTATATGGGATTCCGATTCAGAGCGTCGACACACTTCAAGCCGGAGATCACACCTAACGAAAGGGCGCATCGATTGACAGAGTTCTCGAACAAAGTGGCGAATCTGATCCATCAGGTGATCGAAGACCACTACCGCGAGCCCTC